CCTCCCATTTTGGATCTTGTTTCCTGGTGGCGCCAACTCCGTTGCATCGGTGGAGGAAACGGCTCCAAAGGGAAAACCATGATTTGATTCGATGTTATGAAAAGAATCAACGAGTTTTTACCAGCCACGAGCCAACGAGTTCCTTCAATTGAGAATCTCAAATCCGTTCTCTGAGGTGATGAAAGAGGAAAGATAATAAGAAGGAAAGTAAACTTTATAACCTCGGTTAACGAGTTCTTTATTTATTTATTTATTTATTTGACCTTGCCAAATTTGACAATGGCAATAATTGCTTGCCAATTCCAGCTACGCGATTAAACAAAAGTAAAAACGAAAAGGTTCCTTTGTGAACAAGCGACTGCAAATAGCTGCAAAGTATATAAAGACAGATCTGGATGAAGGACGATCAATGATTTGCGTTTAACCAAAGTAAACACGGGTTCTTGATGTGTTCTTTGGGGTGTGAGCTAAGACACTATTTATGGATTCATAACATATGCATAGGGTGGCTTATCCTCTATACTAAACTAATGTGATGGTGATAAACATGCAAAACAAGAAGAAATTAAGTCGAGCATTCTCAGTTGCTCTTTTTTTTTTTTTTTGCCTGAATTCTCAGTTACTCCCTCTAGTCCTTATCAACTAACAGGTACTACCTCCGGTCCTAATTGTAACAGTTAGTTGACTAATTTGAAGAGATTAAAAAATAAGTTAAGTTAGTTATTTGTAATAAATAGATGTTGTCTTTCCTAAAATATCATTATTAATCAAGTGTATTGACTAGAACTATTATTGTTAGAAAGACTATATTGGAAAAAAATACATAAATATAAGAGATAAAGTGGAGTGGGATCTTATATTTAAGACTAAAATAAAAATTAAATAAGATCTTATATTAAAGAGGGGATGTAGTAATACTTTTTATCTTCTTTATAAGGTACTTGCCGCGTTTTAAGCAGTATTTAAAAAAAAAATCAAGATTTGGTCACTTTTCAATGAGGCTTGGCAATCTTGAATGGGCCTAGTCCAACGTGCTCAAAACATAGTCTGCTAGTGGGCTGTCCCTCTAGGCCTGCCCCAGATTAAAAGAATCACCACTGGGATATTTTAAGTGGACTGCTGCTGTTTTTTTACTTTCTGGCAGTGGATACCTTTTTTGATTTTTTGATTTTTTTTTCAAAGAATGATTCATATGAGCGGACTCAATTGAACAGAAATGAAATCAGTTTTCTTAGATCCATGAATAGAATAAAATGATACTGGGTTGAGTCTAGCGGAAGGAGCTAGTTTCCCACAACATGATGAACCAAGGTTCGAATTCCCGCCGGGAAAACTGCTCACATTTAGTGCCCAACAGTGTTTCGAATAGGATAACCTCCAATAAGAGGATACCTATGCTTTAACCAAAAAAAAAAGAATAAAATGATTTTTAAAAAAATCATATCAACATGGATTGGATCTCATGGAATAAGCTAGTCCAGCACAGTTTTCTAAATTAAGAATTTGAGTTCCAGTCACCAATAATCTCTACAAGAGCACAAGCCGTTGGTGAATCGGTGAAATCTATTGATATCTCTCACGATGATTTCTCTCCCCAAAATCTCTGAAGCAAACTTCATCACAGTATGACAATCCCCACAAGTTCTCAGATTTTTCTTTATCCTTATTGAAGACCCACTCGGGAGGACCAGAAGACCAAATGCCAGAGCTAGTTTTTCGCTGTGGCACCACAAACTCTGTTCTTCAGATCCTTCCACACTGTTAGTCGCAAACTGGATCTCAGCCACATATCCTCTCTTCTTTACCAACTCTTTTAACTTTTTCAGCACTTCGTAAATCTCATCTGTCCTTGAATGTGACTTATCATTGACAGTAAATACAAAGGTCTGGTTCCTAAACTCGATCCAACTGCATCCAGTTTCCTTCCTCACTCTATTAATCCCCATTAATTGCCTAACTCCGTCGGCTTTCTCCACCATTCCATGTCGTGTGTAGATATTAGAAAGCAGCGCATAATTTCCTGGGTTATCTGGTTCCAACTCAAAAAGTCTCTCTGCGACCTCTCTGCCCATTTCAACATTGCCATACTTTCCGCATGCTCCAAGCAAAGCCCCCCAAATCGATGAGTCAGGCTTTATTGGCATTGATTCTGTAAATTTCTTTGCTTCGTTCAATCGACCATTACGGGCGAGTAAGTCAACCATGCAAGCATAATGTTCAGGCCCGGGTTTAATATTATGGATTTTAGTCATGGAATCGAAGTACTTGAATCCCACTTCAACTTGTCCTGTATGGCTGCAAGCTGACAGCACCGAAACGAAAGTAATATATTCTGGCACAATTCCGTGCTTCAGCATCTTCTCAAATAATTCAATCGCTTCATTTGCACAGCCATGTTGTTGGTAAACCGTTATCATAGCTGTCCATGAAACCACATTATGATCCTCAGTTTCTTCGAAGACCCAATAAGCATCAAGCAAGTTCCCACATTTTCCATACATAGTTATCATTGAACTCAGAATACATGCATTCTTCATGAACCCCGTTTTCAAGATCTGGGCATGGATCGAAGTACCCTGAATCAGTGTTGCGAGATTAGCAGAAGCATGAAGAGCGGAAGAGTATGAAACCTCATCGGGTGCCAGGCCTTCCCTTCTCATGGCCTGGAAATAACTGCAGGCTGCTTCAAAGTTGTCATTATGGACACATCCCATGATCATCACGTTCCAGGTAACAACATCTCTATCTCCTGTGTTATAGAACATCTTCATTGCATCATCAAACAATCTACATTTTGCGTACATGTCTACCAGTGAGTTTTTCACATAAACCACTGTTATCGAACCACGCTTAATAATGTTTCCATGCACCTGTTTCCCGAAATCGACTCTAGCCGCATTAGCACAAGCACTCAACACGCTTGAAAAACTCACTTGATCCGGATCAACCAAAGTCTCCCCGAGAACCTCCCTAAAAATCCCGATAGCACGATCATACAACTTGTTTTTAAGAAACCCCACAATCATAGAATTCCAAGTAACGATACTTCTGTCTGGCATTTCACCAAACACCTTCTCTGCCATGCTTACATCCGAGCATTTGGCATACATATCGAGCAACGCACTCGCTACGAATGTATCGCTTTCAAACCCGTGTTTCCAAATCAAACCATGCATCTGTTCACCGTGAGCAACAACCAGAGCATCAGCACAAGCAGGCAAGACCGCTGAGAAGGTGAATTGGTTCGGATACACACCAGTGCACCTCATTCGGTTAAAACAGTTCAAGGCCAGAAATGGCATTTTAAAATGCGATAGCTGGGTAATGATAGTAGTCCAAGTGACCACGTTCCTTGAATCATCACGCGTGGTCGAAAACAAGAGGAGGCCGCGGTCGATGGAACCACATTTGGCATATAAGAGAAAAAGATTGTTGAGGAGGAAGGGGAGAGACGCGTAGTTGATGGTGATGATTTGGGTGTGAATTTGGGTAGCATGTTTGAGGTTCTTGAATCGTGCAGCATTGTCAATGAGGTGGTTGAGTTGGGTGGGATTCAGAGGCGAAGAGACTTGGTAGTACAGATTGCGGAACAGGGGAATAGAAACAGAAATCAGACAGCGCGGTCTTGTACAGAATTGTTGAGGGAAGAGAAATTTCATAATACTAGGTGGGAATAGGCTTCGGAGAAAGTATCAACGCCTTCATCTCTTATTATCCAGTTGGGAAACAAACAATGGGTCATCCGCCCAGTGTCTCTGTTTCTTTCGGACCTTACAGTCCTGTCGGTCAGCTTAACCCCTTCTGCTCTTGCATAATTCAAGATAAGGACGAGGCCTTTCTTTTTGACCTATTGGGCTTTGCCCTCTCTAAGCTGTGGGAAATTGGGACCAATGAAATTAATTTGACCAAAAAGGGCAATATTTAAGTCTTTTTTTAAGCCATTGGTCTCTTTTGAAAAAAAAAATCTGAGCATTAATTATAATACTTCCGATCCTTAATATAAAAACTATTTAACTAATTTGAATAGATTAAATAAATTATTTAAGTTAGTTATTTGTAATAAATAGATATTGTCTTTTCTAAAATATCTTTTCTAATCAAGTATATTAGTTATAACTACTATTATTATAGGGGTTGTTTTTAAAAAAAGATAAATATGAGAGATAAAGTAGATTAGGGTTTTATCTACAAGACTAAAATAAAACTCAAATGAATTCTTATATTAATAACTGGATGTAATATTTCTTAGCTAACATGAATTTTTTATAATATAGCTCCTCTCGAGTTTTATATTATAACAAGATACATTTGCCATTGAAGTATAAGAGAAACACGTTCTTTTGCATTTTCATGGAATCCAATGAACAAATCGCCTGATCACGAGCTCATGGATAATCCAGGTCATCACTACGTGTTTTGTCATGCATCTCGCTATTGCGAGGGACGCTGAACCTTGATGGTGACAAGAGAGTATATGAAACTTGTGGCAGCACATAGCAAACTGGACATTGGCTCCTTTCTATTTCTAATGTCACGTGCATATAACGCCGAATTGGATTTGCCAGTTTGCATATGGACCCCTAGCTATTCCTGAAGGCTAGCTCCCAACGCTGTGTTCCTAGTAATTCATGAATTTACGAATTACATTTACAATGATTTCGCAAGCATTATATAGTATATTACTTAACTTTGAAAATGAACAGTTCACGCTGGGGAAAAAATCGAATAATTCAAATCACGATTCACGAGTACTCTTATTCTTAGCAGCTCGGAAAGATCCTTCACGAATCCTTTTAGCATACGAACTAGTGGTGCATGGTTTGCAAAAAAGTTGGGGTGTTTAGATGGAAGCCAAACTATAATTTCAAAAGTGATTTAACGGTATATATATATATATGAAAGAGTTTATCTCAATTTATAAAAAAGTGTTTTTAAAAAGCATTTCTCACAGTTCTCAAACACCCCCATAAAACAATAATGCAATGTAGAGTAAAAACCTTAAATCTGGTCCAATTATAATTCCAAAACATTTTAAAAAAATCTAAAATATAATTAGTTAATTATCATCCTAGATGCCTTGGAAGCTGACATTTCTTGGATGCCAATCATTAATTACCATATCTATTTGTTTAGATGAATAACTGTGACATCTTAGAGAGAAATATTTTTCCCATAAAATTTTTAAATTATCTTATATAAGAAGACAGCAACATTTTGATGAGTTGACTCAAATTTATAGCATTTTGGTGTATCTAAGTAATTTATAATATATTTTCGCATAGATTTATAAAATTTTCTAATTTTACTTTTATTAAAGTTTTTCCCCCTCTCTATATTGACAAATTATTTTTATATTTTCGCCTTATTTTTTCGTTCTAATGAAAATTAAATAAGAATAAAATTAATAAAAATATATTATGAATAATTTGTATTTAAAGTTAAGATTTTTTTTCCCTATAAGTAACTTATATTTACAAGCAGAGTTCACCCAATTGGCCGCCATGATCTGCGATCGTGTCTTGAATGGGCGGATTTTCCTAAGGCTGTCAATGATTCAATTCAATTATTATTATTATATAAATAGAAATATGTAATGGGAAGAGAAGGAAAAATTGGAAAAGATATTCGCGAAAAAGCTGGTAAACACGTGTGGACGTGGGGATGGCACCGTATTATGGGGAAGGGGCGGCTAAAATTTGCGTCCAGATACAGGGAACGAGTTTCGTCGGTTTTCTTTCTGAGGGGTGTTTGGCATAATCGCAAATATTTACCTTTTGTTTTCATCTAAATACCTCCTTAGCTCTGAAAAGGAGGAAAAAAAAGCACACAGACAAAGGCGGCACATACTGTTTTTTGGGAGGCTCGATGGTGGACCTACGAAAAAAGGTGGTTGGATCTTGGATGGTTTAATTGGATTTGGATTGGGATGTTCGGACCTCGAAACCGTGGCTCCATCGGCGCCGTTGTTTTGCGGTAGCACGGCAACATACCATCCGTAGATCTTTCGACAGCCTGGCGGCCCTCAGGCCACGTCTGATTTACCGACGCGCTCTTTTTTTCTCCCAGCTAATAGAGTAATAATTTAAATTCTTAATATTATTCTCGCACATGAAACTAAAAAAAATTCCTTAAATGCTTTTTTTTTTGGCCAAGAAGAATGTCAATGATATCCATATCAAATACTGCGCCGCATTTAATTCCACGCAATATAATGCTGCAAGACGGGGATACATGTCTTCTACTAAAATTGTAAAATTGAGGATGAATATAATTTTTGTTAACTCCGCAAAACGTGTGCTTTGTTTTTTAAGATTTTGTCGTTGTTATGCAGGTAATGCAACGGTTAAAATATGATCGAGTAAAAAAAAAGATATTTATTGAGTGTACAGAGCAGTAGAAAATATCCTGTCTTCCTTGTGCATTTTTCTCAAATTTTTCATTTTGATTTACAACAAAAAATGAGAAGAAAAGGATATGAACATATTTTTTAAAATATTATTCTTAAAACGAATCTGATTCTGGAGAACTGGAAAGTGAATGAAAAGCAATGAGTTGGAAGAAGCTGGCGATGGAGTGGGAGAGCGTGGGAGACAAACATAAAGGAAAGAACGTGGGGAAAGCTGCAGGAGGATGTGGCGGGAAAAAAGGGCGGGCGAGGGAGTAGGGAGGCGTTCAACGTGACGGATTGGCTTCTTTTGTTTGCTTTTTGACCTAAGAATATGAATTCCCTGACACATTATTTCAATTTTCAACTTCTTATTTTGAAAAAATGCTTAGCATTGTTAGATTAAGAGAACGCGACATGGGCCAGATTCGATGATGTGCCCGTTTGGATCAGCGATTAGAAAAGCAGCTTATAGAAAAAGTAGCTTATGGAAAAGTGAAGTTGATAAAGTTAAATTAGATAAACTGAATTGTGTTGGATTGGAGTTCAGAAAAGCTAGTTTACAAAAATGAGATTGGTAAAAGCTTGTTTGGATTATAGTTGAGTAAAATTAAGTTTGGCTGAAAAATTACCAAAATGGGCATGAGTTTTAATAAATAATGAAACATGATGAAAAATTGATTTAAGACAATACAATAAAATTAAAATAAAATAATATGAAGAAATAAAATTTAACGAGTAGATTAAATTTTAAAATTTTTAAAAAATCAAAAAATATTTGAAATATAAATATTTCAAATATTTTTTGATTTAAAAAAAAAAAATGAAAATGATGCTTGTGAGAGGAAAAGGCAAATGGGACAGATAAAAAGGACCTGCATCCCAGAACGGGCGACCAGCTTCTGATTTTTTTTTCCCCTCCCAAAAGCTCTTTTGGATTAAGTGATAAGCTCCTTCTTACAGCTTATAGGAATTAGACACTCAGATAAGCTTTTTTAACATAAGCCCAATTGCTTTTAAGCTCTGCCAAACAGGTCCCATTTGCAATCCAGCTTATTTTAAAATTTAAGCTTATCATAAGCTGATTTTAAGCTTTGCCAAACAGAGCCGATAGTAATACTGATTCATCACCAGCGTCCAAGAGTCCTCATTTGTTGAGATCCATACTTTACCGAGTTACTAACTGAAATTGTTTTCTTTTCTTTTCTATTTTGATTTTTAAATAAATGTGAATGTGGTAAACACCGGTAACACCAAATAGGAAAATAGGGGGACGCGGAATAAGCGAGGTTAAGGAACCGTGTGTACTAATGGAGAGATGCCACGTGGAGATCCAGTTGGATAAGATGCATGGTCGTGATATAAATAAGGACCGCGGGTAGCTCAGAAATCAAAATCAAAATCAAAACCACAAGAGAAGACAGAACAGCGAATCGAAGAGATCGGAAGGATTTGAAGAAATAACAAAAGAAGAAAAAGGCGAAGAAAATGGCAGACGAAGGCACGGCAACCTGCGTCGACATCCTTCTGGCCATCATCCTGCCTCCTCTCGGAGTCTTCCTCAAGTTTGGCTGCAAGGTCCCCTCTCTGTTTTTTTTTCTCTCCCCCCCCCCCCCAAAAAACAAAACCTAGTTTAGTATTCATGTTCTTCTTCCTCAGATAATTAACCTTATCAGTAAATATAACTGCAGGCTGAGTTCTGGATCTGCTTGGTCCTCACCTTTCTGGGCTACCTCCCCGGAATTATCTATGCCGTCTACGCCATCACTAAGTGATGACCTCTCTTACTGTAAGTTATGCCCCCCCTTCTGACATGTTTGTGTGTATGTGTAAAGCTTCACTGTACCATTAACTGTGTTACAAGTTCTGGAAAAATTAGGAAAATCATCAAAGCCATGCGTTTCCTTGTGATGCAAAATTTTGTTCTCATATTGCCTGCCATGATATTCATGCTACCAGAATGGTTTCTCGTTCTGTGATTGCGAAGCTTGTCCATGTGCTAGGAGTGGTTGAGTGGGACAAACAAAAATAATTCAGAAGAGTCTCTTAATGCTGGTGGCCCTGGTTTCCTAACAAAATTAATAACAGTGAAAGTGACGTGAACGTTTTCAATTCAGCTTTGAGAATGCGGGGATAAATGGGTCCCATTTCCCCCGATTGGATTCGTTACGATCGTGTTTAAGTGGAGATATGCTTGAGTCCAAAAAAGAAAAAGTGGAGATATGCTTATTACCTGCTTTGTTGCTTTATTTTTTTGTCCACTTCTCTCACAAATACGCAACAACTGCTGACTCGGGTCATGATTATATCTTTGTTGACAGGTGGACGTTGAACAGTGGTTAGGGGCGTTTATGTCTTTTCCCATTGCCCCTCGACGGACAGTCACAGCACTTATTCTTTTTCTTATTTTAATTTCAAATTTTCATGTGTATTATTACTTGTGTCGAATCTGCTTTGTAATCGTACTCTTTGCTGTTTTTGTCCGATGCACGAAGAAGATGGGGTGTGAATCTGGTAGTGTGAAGATGTATGGGGTGTGAATCTTATTAGCGTGTAGGTGTATTTGGTGTCGGACATCTCACAGATTATTATTATTATTATTCGTTTCGAGTGAACAATGATAAAAATTCCACCCCATTAATAATTAATTATTCCATTATTATTTCTTCAGAGCATCTTCTTGTCGCAATTCCAGACTTTCTGTGAACTGCGTGTCTCCGAGCCTAAATTCCGCAACAGTTAAGTGCCTTGTACGAGAAGCTATTGTCTTTGATCTAATCATGACTCAGGGGAAGGAATACACACACACAAACATATAATATTGCATATATTCTTCAATAGTAAGAAACTGACACCGGTAATTCATTTATTATACAAAACTAGATGGTGCTGTCCCGTGCGTTGCACGGGAAGCAATTGCTTTAAATGAGAACCTCACCTGAAATAATGTCTCTTTATACTTTAAAGAAAAAAAAAATCAAGGTGTTAACGGTACAACCATTGAAAAAACATAGAACTGCCATCCTTGTACTTGGTTAAGATGTTATTGCACAATCATCCGTTTTGAGACATCAGCAAATGACTTCTGCTTACGTTTTTTAAGGCTTCAACACAGTAGTGGCTCTCGTCCTGGTGTTCCCGGAAAACTCGTACATTTGGGGTTAACTTATCTTATTTGCAAATAAAAAACAATTCACATATTTTGGCTCAAAAAGATATATCAGTTCATGTATCCACGACAGCTTGTCAACAATTTATGCTTTCGTTTGGACAACACAAACATAAAGCACGCGTTAATGCATCCGTGTGTGGACGGGGAAGCTCTTTTGTTATGTGTTTGTGAGATTCAAACGCGTACAGAAGAAGAAGTTCAGTATTTCCCACAGGATAAGGTCAAAATATGATCAAAGTAACGTCAAAATAACAAAGAAAGAAAAGAGAAGTTCCCAATCAATGGTGGCGAGACACGTGGGTACTTTACCTTGCGTGTTCTATGGGTAAAGAAACTTGGATTACATGTTCCAGAAAAGCCTCAAACGCGTTAATAACCATGTGTCTGGACCTAATCCAAACTATGAACTTAAGCCGACAACCGGCACATGTAGTGGGGTTGCATATGTGGCCAGCGATGTCTCTTGGGGATCGAATAAAATAAGGATGTTAAATTAATTAAGAAGGATGGGACATGATTAATACGTTATACGAGTATTACTATAAAACAAAACTTGATTTGATTGGGGTGACTTGGGCGCACCGTTTATACCCATCCGTTTTGCGGAAGGCGTCAGCGTAACGAACAATCACGCTGTTCTTAATGCATGTGGAAGGGTAATAAATTAAGGGAGACTTAATGTTTAGGGGGGGAAAAAAGAAAGAAAGAAAGGCGACTTGAAGGAGGCGTTAAAATTGAAAAATAGTTTGATTAGTACAAAAGTTTCTCTGGGCCTCATGGGCTTTAATCAGATATCAAACTGAGTTTTAGAAAGTTTTGGCACCACAAAAAACCCAGTTCAACCCTTTTTGGTACGGGTTGCGTGTGAAAGATGTTAGGCCCATACGAGTGTCAAAGTCCTCGTCCTCTGATCCATCTTCAGACTTCCCTGCTATTCACCTCGCCTCTTTTCAAAAAGGAGAAAAAAAGGAAAGGAAAGGAAAGGAAAGGAAAGAGAATTCCCGATCATTTATAAGAGTTAATGGTTTATTACTCTTTTCTGATTATTTACCAAACTTAAAAAAGAGTTAAGACTATGATCCACAAATACCTCATTTTTTTTCTTTAAATAAGTAAACGTTTCGTTTTCCTTTCTTTATCATCCTTTTTTTTTTTAACCAGCTCTTTATCTTCCCTTTTTACTTCTTTCTCTCTTTCCTTTTATTACAATTTTTGAGAATGGTCAGAAATATGATATCTTGCGGGTCCAGGTTGAAGAGCATGCAAAATCATGCTCATCCGGGTACAAGACCCAAGTGCACTAGCCTGAAAACTTACTCATATCAAAATAATTAATGCCCCCCATGATTCTTTCTCTTCGTCTCAGATTATTCGGAGAGTCATAAACAGAGAAAATACTCATTCATGATGCAAAGAAAAGTATATGTCTGTCACAAAAGACGGAAGAAATTCACTTCTCATAGTAACAGTTTTCAAAAGTCGAACCATAATCAATATACATATAGGAATATAAAGCAAGCAAAAGGCTTCGATCCATTAGTAACTCGAAAAACCTACAGCGGTTACTCTTAATCCAAAGATTCTATGGCACCAAATTAGACAGCAAAAGCAAAAACAAAAACAAAGCAATTTCGCCATCTCGTTGCTGCCTTCGTCATGGGAGAAGGAGAACGACAAGGTCAGCTCTTCATACTCCTTGCTGTCATGTTGTCTTCGTGAGAAGACGGTGGGCGGGCAAGAGTATGGAGATCACTCGCGATGGGAAGAACAACGAGAAGCACGAGAGGCAGAGGGCGGAGGAGAAGAAGGAAAGTGCCACGTATGTCATATAGTCAAACAGGATGCTTCAATAGTCAAAATCAATACTCTTTTTCGTACTTTTGGAACGATATTGAACAAAATTGTTTTGGATAGCAACTACTTTTTCGTAGCTAAATTTGACTTTTAACCTTCTTTTTTTTGTGATGCCCCTTTTGTCGTTATTCTTCATGAGGTTACAATTGGGACGAATGGATGACACTAAATGCAATAACAATGCATTTATGCTGTTAATGAGTGCAATACATACAACGAATATATATAGTTGACTGATCTAAGAGTAAAACGAGATCTAAAAATAATTACTTTTTTAGGTGCTTTTTACATAAAATATAAATAACCAAATTATGTAGATAAAAAAGTTATTAAAATTGATTAAACACGATAAATTTGTAAAAATTAAAACTTAATTTCGAAAAACACCTTTAAGGAAAGATCTATCCGTGAGGATGGATAATTAATTTAATGAGAATAATAGAGAATTAATCGGGATAAAAAAATCATACTAAAAGTTTTAGATAGACTATAAGTATCTCTTGCAAATAAAAACATCATTCATACAAAATTATGTGTCTACGTTGCCAATTTACCCAGCTCAATTCCTTCACGCAAATCATAAAGTACATACATTTGGGAGTTAGAGCCCAGAGTCAACATCATTCAGAAATGGAACCTCATTTAAACCTAACATTGTATCAGGCAAATTTGTGGAAAAATACCGGTCAGGCTTTAAGTATTGCGCATTCAATGTGAATGGGTGACGTAGAACTATATAGGGCAGAGCCTACCTAAGGTTACAACACAAGAAAAAATCTAGGTTACTCGTACCTATATTCCTAGTCAAAACACGCCATGACCAGGAACAAAGTGCCTCTTGCATATCTCCCGAGCGACGCTGCAAGGAAGACAACATATAAGAAAAGGATGAAGGGTCTTGCGAAAAAGGTGAGTGAATTAACCATTCTTTGTGGGATTGAAGCATGTGCCATTGTTTTTAGCCCCTATGAATCTAATCCAAAAGTTTGGCCAAATTCAAGAGGAGCCCAGCAGGTAATCGCAAGGTTCCAAAATGCACCTGCGCCGGATGAAAAAAGGAATTTGAACCAGGAGAGTTTTGCTAGGCAAAGGATTGCCAAAATTAATGCACAACTTGAGAAGCAGCGTGAAGAGAATTGCAAGAAGGTGACAAAGCTAGCTGTATTCCAGTGTGCTGAAGGGAAGAGTATGGGTGACGAGATGATCGTGGATCTTGATGACATTGATCGCTTGACCCAGGAGAACATAAGCAAGATTAAGAATAAGATGGATGAGTTTATTTGAAACTATTTTGTTTAACTTCTCTTGTTCAAGACTCGATGTTATTTACTAGTTTGAAAGATTCACCGCTTAATAAATATGGACTCTTTTTTTAGGAATTTCATATTCTACTAGAATTGAGGGACTTTATAAGCAAATTATTAGAATTTTAATCTTTTTGCAGCATCAAACGAGAGAGAAAGACAGAGGGGAAAAGGAAGGTTTCCTACATTTCAAACAAATAGTACATCACAAAACTCAGATATTATTGAGCTTGATATGAACAGAAAATCAGAAAGCCGACACACATAAATTATGTAATATTTGCAGTACAGACTATATCTTGTGTTTCGAACTAGAGGTAGCACAGCAGTTCGAGGTTGATTGACTACCAAAGGTTACTCTTTTGTCGTGGACAATTAAAGGTGGCTGTAAACTAAGAAATTCCATTGAAAGGGGCCACCAAAAAAAATGACTTGAAAGGGATTAACTAAAACAACTATTAAAATTGACCTAAATATCAATCATATACTGCATGCCTAAAGCTTTGAGGAATAGAAACGATTTCCTAAAACCCAAAGTTGTGTTGACACAAATTTGTGTGATTCATAGAAGATAAGTGGACATTCAGGAAAGCAAGCTCACTGAAGTTGTTCTACCGTCCCGGAAAAACAGAGCTACCATCATATGAGGACAAAATAATTGAGACTGCCTAGGTGGCAATGACCTACTGACACTGTAGATTCAAAAACTATGAAGTCTCAAAAACGGCAGTATAAAAAGCATATCAGATCACAAACGAAGGCACAACGAACTGAAAGGAAAGATCTCAGGTTGTTGTATTCTATGCTAAAATCTATTCCAATAATTTACACTTCTCAACCATCAAGGTTTTAAACTAATATATCCGCTAGTCATGACAGTCAAAATATTCTATTTGTTGCTGGGTGGATTGTGACAAATTAATGTTTTTTTTAATCCTCATTATAGAGCATCTCTGACTATCTTACCAGATCAATGAGTGGTTAATTCATCAAATTTTTTTAGAACTCAGTTTTTTTTCCAAGTTTATCCATATTATAGAGCATCTCTGACCATCGTAGTAACAGAAAAGTTGCATTAGACTTAAGTGAAAGCATATCACAGCATGATCATCTAAGTGCAAGCATTCTTTGTAAAGGCAAATTGACACTTCATAGATTTCCATCCACGGATCGAATTAGATCAAAGTGGGAATATCGGAATGCTAGAATTCCAAGGGAGAAATTTAAACAGAAGTTATGACAGACAAGAGCCAGAGCTTACGGTAAACATAAGCTACAGAATCCATGGCGTCTATATATACATATATATATATGTATGTATGTATGCATGTATAATAGAATCCCTGGCGTCTCCGGTGTACTTTCAAAAGCTTATCGGGCCTTGAATTTGGCTTTTGGGCCTTTTGTGGGCATATCCCATTGAGCTCTGAAGAAACATAATGTTTGTAGGCCCAACACACTCGAGCTTGTTTCGGCTTATTTAAAAAATATATATATTTGTGCACATAATTCTTCCCCCCCCCCCATTGAGGGGTAGGCAAAATCCTTGCTTGGGATCGCAATCATCATGAATATCTCATAAAGCGCAGTAGTCAAAAAAGTGGAAAGCTGCTCATTTCCCCCTTAGTGGGTAGAACACAAAATTCGTAGCGGATTCATTTGCCCTGCCGAGAGAGAAAGATAGAAACAAATATCTGACTAACAGAGATCTTGACAAGTGCTCATATACTGTTCTCATCATAACTTCTACTGTGTTATATTCCTTCGCCTTCAGTTAATGGTGGTCAGAGCAGGAAGATACAAATCAGTTCTCTGCAACACGGAAAGCGGCCGGGACTTACGCTCGAAAAAGTAAATAAAATTTTCCTACAGCTCAAGAAGGAGACACAATGCGTCAAAATGTCTGATAAAAAAGTTTTGCCCAACACACTTGTGCTTGTTTCGGCTTATTTAAAAAATATATATATTTGTATATATATAAATATATATATGTAGTGTACTCCAAATTCTTAGCCAAATTCTTCCCCCCCACTGAGTGGTAGGCAAAATCAAGGCAAAATCCTTGCTTGGGATCGCAATCATCATGAATATCTCATAAAGCGCAGTAGTCAAAAAAGCGGAAAGCTGCTCATTTCCCCCTTAGTGGGTGGAACACAAAATTCGTAGCGGATTCATTTGCCCTACCGGGAAAGAAAGATAGAAACAAATATCTGACTAACAGAGATCTTGACAAGTGCTCATATACTGTTCTCATCATAACTTCTACTGTATTACATTCCTTCGCCTTCAGTTAATGGTGGTTAGAGCAGGAAGATACAAATCAGTTCTCTGCAACAGCTTAAACTCGAAAAAGTAAATAAAATTTTTCTACAGCACAAGAAGGAGACACAATGCGTCAAAACGTCTGATAAATAACCCAGAACAGTATATGTTATTATCAGGTTATTGTCATTAATAACCAAGAAGTGATGATTGCGTGGGAGGCAAGAAATGAGATATTTAGGTGCACAAAATAAAGCGAAGATGGTAGATGGAGATGCAAGGTTGAGGTTAGTGGAGTTGAAAAAGGAGGATGATTCGCATGGAGGCGGACAAAGAGAGACGAGAACCACCGGATAAGCAATTCCACTTGTGTCAGTATCTTTGATGGAAAAAAGTGGAATCTACCATCTCCCTTTATTATTAATCTCATATGCTCACCATTCAACGTGCATTCTCCTGTACTCTCATTCATAAAGTGCAACACCAGACGTCTCGTTCTCACTTTCCATCAACTCGATCGCAGCAGATCCATATATATCGATCGCTTCTGATTTGATCTCCTATAATTTTGTCTTTCTCTTTATTCTGAATCCAGAGACGTACGTGGAAGAAATCGAAAGGAAATATAATAAAAAAAGATAAGACAAAGAAGGAATCTGGAAAGACTGCTGGCTCTGTACATGGAAATGAAGATTTGCCAACTGTAAGAGATATTGTTAACACAGAAGGCTACATGCAACGTGCAGTGTTTTTCAAGGTTTAGGGAGTGAGTCAATCCATATCATGATTGAACTCGACATGCATGGGGACACCCACAGGGCTTAAACACCCCACACTTAAAAGTTTATTTAGCTTAGTGCGGATTTCATTTTATGCTAAAGCTAAAGCCACCAAGCACGTGCATCTCAATCATTTATTTTCACAATTTAATTTGATTATTCCAATTGTTTCATCAGTACTTTATTTATTCTGCACATACACGTGTGTGCGTATTTAAAATTAATTACTAAAAAAATCCATGAACATCGCATAGTTGTAATTCAAAATTCCCCATTCATGCCTGCTAATTACAATGACTGAAATAGGACTTCTTCTCATTTATCTCTTGTTGCAGAACTAGAAATTAAACATGACTATAACGAAGGTCTGCGCTTGAAGAACTCGATGAACCAGGAGAACTTGTAGCAAAAGACGCGTATTACTCCTCCGGTCCTAATTATAAGACCCAATTGACTTATTTGAGGAGATTAAGGAAGTAAGTTAAGTTGGTTATTTATAATAAATAAGTGTTGTCATTCCTAAAATATCCTTGCTAATTAAGTATATTGGCTAAAACTATCATTATTATAAGGATTATCTTGGAAAAAAATGCATAAATATAAGAGATAAAATGGATTGGGGTCTTATAATTAGGACTAAATAAAAAGTCAAATTGGGTCTTATAATAAGGACCAGAGTAGTACTACAATAAAGACTATTAGATTGTTTCAGTCATATTCCAGCGATGTCCATCTCACCTCGCGCCCCTTAACGACATTGAAACCATGCCCCTCGTATGGGTCTGAACTCAATGACCATCTATTTGCAAGCTCGTGATCGCTTATCTTTTACGCATCCCTGACTTGAATATATCGTAACTCAGCTTTTTGGTCATTAAGCTCTTGACCTAGAATACTGTCCAAACTTCAAACAGTTCATTAGTTATTAATTATGCGAAACTGTTTAATCACCCAAGGTTTTGAGGTTATTCATTCATACTAGCACTTACTATTTTCTCTCGTTAGATTTCGGTCAAACAGGAGTGTCCTGCTTTCTATTCTCGGCTTTGCATATATATGATATATACTTGGAAAGGGGAGCAGATGATTTACTGAAAGAACGAAATTTATTTATATATACCAGGATAATCTGAATTTACAAGGCTGCATATTTGTATGTATGTATGTATAACACAATTATTGTGGCTGGGAGTTGCGTTTCTTGGTCTCGGCGTCCAGGAAAGCTCGGACTTTCCTGTCAATACCAGGTTCAGCCACTCCCCAGCGACCTCGATCTTCATCGCTGGGCCACACTTTCTGGGCCTTAATTCCATCTTCATAGGCTTCTCCGTCATAGTACTTCTGCTTCTTAGACCTGAAGACGCTGAAACAGAAGAAACTGGTTGCAGACTTCCTGCCTCCCATGATTTTTTTCTCGGAGTTGTCTTGGTTTTCAGTTGACAGGGTCACGAGGCGGTGTCTTTGATTTATATAGCAGAGAGTTGTTCCGTCAGTGAAACGAGTGAATAGTGAAGAATCTCAATATAAATGGTTCTGGTGAAGCTTGCCGACACGGCAGCCAAATTGGGCCAAGGCACATTTGCTGCACTCCGCTAGTTTCGTACATGACAATACATTGTGAAATATTAATCATTGTTGCCTCTTCACTTTGTCATACTTGTCTACTTTCATTTTTGTTGTTTTTTTCCTGTCAAGTTCAAGGTATAATTATATTCTTGGTACTTCAACTTTTGTTCTTTCCTTTTTAAAGCTCCCACATACCTAATTTCCGAATCCCCATCCCGTGGTTGGTCGAGATCTCTAGCTGCTCTCAAGAATCCACCTACACACGACTTGCCTTTCTTTCTTTCTTTTCATTTTTCTGGGGTGAAGATGAGTTAGCTTTTGTACCTTCACGAGCAGGCTTCTCCCACAAGCACGCGCGCGATCAAACATATTA